GATCAACTAAAATATGGATCTAATTGGTAAAAAATTGAATGAACATAAGCTAGAAATACAAGAAAACTTAAATAACTATGAGAGAGACTTAATTAAAAAGCAAGAATTGAAAAGAAATTGCAAGAATTAATAAAGAAAAGTAAAAAACCAAATGGAGTTGAAAAACTAGAAACTACCAAGTCAATAAAGGAAAAATTAGATCTAGAACTTTATAAAGGGAATCAACTCAAACTAAGCTAAGACAACCTAGATCTATAAGTTTATAACATGAATCAACAAAAAAAATCTCACAAAATAATTAAAATCTAAACTCAATAAGCTATAATTCATACCACATGCAAAAACAGGAAATTCAGAGCAAGTACAAGAAAAACTAACCAAACAGCATGTAAATGTAAGAATTTAAATACAAACAAATGATAATTAACAAGTACCTAAATGAATTGAAGATTTTATAGTGCAAAAATTGCAAACCGAATGCCCAGCTAAGAGAGAGGTCCCTTGAATTGCTGTCACTTAATCAAGATTCAACTCTACCACTAAGTTCAATTGCAAGTTTGAAATTAGATCTGAAATCGTGTAGAAGGAATTTGAAAGGGATTTTATCCAAATTTAAAAATCTAAGCAAAAAAATTTGGCACCAAACAAGCAAGAATTGAACAAGAACCGATCCAAAAACCACAAAGAGGTCAAAATCATAAATCACCAAACAAATTTGAATAACACTTGAAATCAATTGAAATTGTACACTAAAGCTTAAAGATCTTGAACTTTTATTGAAGAAATAATAAAGTGCATTGAAAATTAAAGAAGGAAAGTAAATTTTGTGGGAAAATAAAGGCAATTTTCTTACAAACAACCCTCTAAATGAGCAAGGAGGAAATTGTTTGGAAAGAAAAAAGTAAAATGCAAGGAAAAAAATGTAAAGAACTAAGCTAAAAATCTCTTATGGCCGATCATTTTCCTTTATTTATAAACAAATGGGTGCTTCTTTAACCACTTAAAATGAAGAAAAACTTTTCAGCTAATTGCCATTATTCTAGAACTTTCTATCTCAAATTTTTTTAATCCTATGCTATCTAGTTTCCTTCTTCTTGCTTCCTTTACTTCAAGCCTTTTTCTCACGATCTAACAAGCTTCAAGAACCAACATTATGCCTAATAAAAAGCCTTCAAATGGTTAGCTCAAATGCTCCAATTGGTCCCTTTTTGAATTTTCAAATTGGAACCACATTCTTTTGATCATATGATCCATGTATCCAATTGACTAGGGTTAAACTTTGCTACCTCATTTTTGCACCAATTGTAAACAATTCTCCCTTAATTTTACTACCAAAATATAGACTATTAAATGGACATTTGATGCCTTATAAACCTTAAAAAAATTCTAGAAAATTGCAAGTCTAAAAATAACCTTCAACTACATTAATGCACATATTATCTTTCAAGCACTTGTAAAAATACTACAAAGGTAATAATGCATTAATGCGCTAAGAAAGATATTTCCAATTGAAAAAAAAATACAATTAAGACTTGAAACAAAGTTCAATTGAGCTAGAGAAATCATAAAAGAAAGGGTTAAGAAAAACTCTCATAAATAACAATAGAGCGCAAGCACACTAATTTTGGCTTTTTCTAGCTTTTAGCACAAAATCCTTCAACATGAGTCCAAAAACTCCAAAATTCCTCATTTTTCATATTTTTAGCTACACATTGAACATTTATGTATTTAAGAATATTTTTACTAAATTTTCAAAGAACAACCCAAAATTCGATAAAAATTACACTAAGCAAAAGTAAGAAAATGCTAAAATTTTAGTGCAATCAAAATTTCACTTCCATTAAAACCTAAGCCACATGAGACATTTGACTTTTTCCATCTCTACCAACAACACACTCTTTGTTAAGTTTTTTAGAAAACAACATCTAGCCTTAGAAATTGTCTACAACCATTCTCAAAATCATTTAAAAGGTAACAAAGCATATGTAATATTTGTTAAAGATAGGTGGAAAGTTTAGCATCTATCTATGCACTTGCATCTTCACACTGCTACCATAATTATTTTCTCTGGTTGCCTTTGCATAATCCCATAAGTGTGCAAACTTTTCTTTATAATTGCTTGCCACTTTATCAACCACATCATTTTTTGCCTTTCTTACCATGTTCATTTTTGCCCCTGTTCCATATTCATTCTTAATTGCTTCCTATATCTCTAAATTCTTCATAAAAAGGTTCTTCAAAAACTTATCAATACACAACTTATCAATAAATTGAGTCATCCTTGGATTGCTAAAGGCCTTTTTGCAATCATAATTGTTGTTGTAAATGTTCACTTGAAATAATTGCAACTTTTTATCAAAAGATGCATATATCAACCAAAGACAATTAAGTGCAACACATTTACTTCTCACAAAATTCTTATGGTTTTTGGTCAAAATTATAGCTCTGTTTATATGAATAACCGATAATGGCACAATATGCTTAAATTGATTTAAATTCTCAAACAACATACCTAATTCTATATAAAATGTACTTGTAGTTGGACTATAAACTAGGAACTTGCTTTTTCTCCTAGTAGCATCATCCACCATGTCTTTTTCATCATTAATATGATCTTTATATTCATCATAGTCATAATAATACTCACTATAGTACCTTTATTATGCTTAGTATCAGACATTTTTTTTTAACCTTGAAATCTAGCCCCTACCATAGTAATAGTAATATTCACTCCCTTGGCCACTTTTTGTCTATTATTTTTCCTCTTCTCATTTCTCATTTTCTTAAACTTGGTCCTAACAACAATAATTTTTTCATCTTCATTGCCACTCAAAGCTTGAATAAAAACATCATAAATAAGATATTCCCCTTCACTGTTAGTTGGTCTATTTCCATCATTAACATCTTTTATTTGTACCTCACTATGAACCCTATTAGATGGTTCATCATTAACAACATTATTAGGCTCTTCTACATCACAATGAACCCTATGACCATCATTTACTTTGTCAACAATCACATCACTAGAAGTAGTTACCTTATTAGATGGTTCATTAGTCATAGCATCATGATCAAGGTTGTTAACATCGTACTGAATAACATTTTGATTTTTTTAAAAAAATATGGTATATACTGATATCAGTTGTTTTGATATATTATTTCAGATTTTTTTATTTATTACAAAAATAATTAAAAACATGCATGAACTTGTACATTATAATATTATTAATAAGCTACAAAATAAATATGCAATACATTCAAATCAAACAAATAAGTTTAAAAACATAAGAAATAATATCATAAATTTTTCATGATATTTTTAAACACTTAATCTAATCATATGATATTTAAATAAGTGTTTTATTTCATATAAATATTAAGATAAAAACAAAGAGATGAAAACAATTAATCAAAACTTTATGATTGTTAAAATTTATAAAAGGAGTATAATTGTTTTCTTGAAAAAAAATTGAAATACTTATAAATTTTGGTTTGAAAAAATAAATTATAAAATTATAAACTTTGGTTTGAAAAAAATATATAAAAAAAGTTAAAATAAAAATATAGAAATTCAAATTTTAAGGATTATTTTGTCAATAATTTTAGTTGTATAAGGTTAAAAAGAGTTAAATAACAAAAGATAAGTTAAAAATTACAAAATATATTTCATATTCACATACCGATCGAAACATACTATTCCATGAAAATTCACCGAAACAGGCTGAAACTAACAAAAATAACTAGTATTATCTGGTATCAAATTTGGTACAAAATATCATCCTTAGATGTATCATATTTTAGTATAACTGAAGCATAACAGTCGGTATGATCGGTATCAAAATGAAATTAACAACTATCCTCAAGAACTAATTCAAGCTCATTTATATCATCCTCTATATCAATGTCTACTATATCATTATCTAACAAATATCCTATCATGTCAAAAGTGGTTTCATCACCTTAAACTAGTCCAAATCCATCATCAAGTGTTCTACTGGGCTTCAAATAAAAAATCCTCCTAATGTTCATAAATCCAACATCTTCACAAACACTTAGTAACTCCTAAAAACAACCTTGTTAAGGTCAAATGTCAAGTCTTCATAAATTTTATTTATATAACTCAAATTCAAACCTTTACCAATAAATGTTCCTCAATAATGAAATTTTATTGTCACTAATTCAGAACTTATATCTGTTAAAAGTAAAGAAAAAACAAATTATCAAACCCTAAACATTAATTCAAACTAAATCAAATAACTACTAACTATTTGTTCAAGATCATACATTTTTTAAAACCCATAAGAAAAAAACTCACCTGAAAATGGTGGATACCCAAATGTTTAGAATGAATAAGCATCACTTGATTTTTTTTCTTATCTACTTTTTAAAATTCATGAATCCACTAAATTTTTTTTTAATCTTGTTTTCAGGAATCACAAGTCTATTAATCTTCTTAGTCTTTCTCTAAACTTTTTTCTTTTGAAAACTTAAAATCCCTGAATCCCCTTTTCACAATTTTTATTTCTTAAACGCGTTTATACCATTTTTTTAAATGATAATTTTTTTTTTACTTTTAATGCAAAAATACATTATACCCTTTTTTTCAAACCAACAAATAAGAAATTACTGGTGTCACGTTATTTTTTTTTTTTGCATAAAAGCCACGACCATAATAAAACTCTTAATTGCACAAATTCAAAAATGTTTAATCCCAAATCAAATTAAAAATAATATTTTCAATTGAAAAAACACGCAAACATTAATTTTTAATTGAGCATTTAACTTATTTTTTATACATCTATTTATTAATTACTGTTAGTATGTATTTGGGGACAAATTTAACCTCAACCATCGTTCTTTTACGGTAAGCAAAATAAAACATCCTAATTTACCAAAGGAAGCTCATGTCGGACGCCGTCGTTTCAAGGTTTATTTCAAGCTTCCCATTTTATCGAACACGTATCATACGTGGCAGCCAACGAAAGCTTTCTAAACCTTGAACAGAAGCAAAGTTGTTGTACCATGCCTGAACGCTAACTGGGCAACAACTGTTTTCTCAAGCAATTCAATCTCAAACTTCAACTCTTCTTCTCTTCAATTTCTTAAACAAGAAAATAGAAGGCCCCAAAAGCACTTTCATCTCTTTGTGTTCTGGAATTGAAACAAAGAAATGAGCTTATAAAAAGCAGATTATATTTCTTTATTGAATTTTTAACTATTGAAAATGCAGAAAGTGATTCTTCATCATAGTCTGCCAGTCAATTCAAGAGGGAAACTTCCCTTCTTGGTTCTTGTGCATTCATTTTCATCTTTTAATAGCTTTTCAAGAGTACGCATTTCTCCTTCCTGTAAGTTTTCCTCTCTGTCTTCTTTCTTTTCTTTTTTTTTTTTTAATTTTATTTGGTTTTAAGGGTACTCTTTACATCTTTGTAAGGGGATTCGCGGAAGGATTTAATTTCCTTTTGTAAGAACGTTGTGGGTGGCTTTCCCTTTATGAATTAAGTTGAATTTAGGCTGTCGTTGTTTGAAGAGATTTGGAGGATGTTATTATAGTGATATTATGTGTCAGATTAAAGCAGTGAATAGCTGGTGTTTTTGAAGCTTTTGTTTACTCAATTTGGATGGAAATTTTTGGGTTAACTGAGAGTAAGTGAACCAGTTTCTAAGTTATGCATAAATAGACTTTGGAGTTTGTATGGTCTGTGACTTTGTTTTGGGGATAAGGTGAGAGATGAATTCAGGTTATGTGCAAAAGTTTCATAGACCCAAAAGGAAACGAGTTTTAACCAATGTTAGTCTTCTAGAATTGTATGAATTGATGAAAAACTGAAAGGACCACTGAATTGTATTTATTTAGTAGTTACAGTGCATTGCATTCCATGTACTAATCAAGCCACTGAAGATTGTTCCCCTACTGTATAGGCTATAGTTTGGTTACATTGAATTCAGCATGCCCTTGGCTGAGGTTGATGTAAGTTGAGTTTAAATTTCGAAGATAAGATTAGATTTGAGGATCAAAATGCTCTCAACATTTTCTTGTGTTTTAGATTTCTAAACTCAAAAAAAGATGAATAGCAAGACAGGGCTTCTTCTGTCTTCTTCCTCGTCTTCAAAATATTACTTTAGCTTAACCTTATCCTGTTTATCAGCTTGCTCTATATGGTTTGAACTGCTGTTCAGTTTCATTACTTAGCAGACAAATGTTTCTTTTGGTTCTTTATATGACACATTAGATGGCTGTTCTCATAGTGGACTGTTCCAATTTATGTTCATGCACAGTATTGATTTTATTCCTTTTGTTGTTAGACACAGCATCATTAGTTAACTTGTCTTGTAACTTTTTTATAGTAGGATGTAGAAAAAAATCAAGGTTGAGCTCAACGTGCAACACATTTAGAGCACAAGCATCCAATATAGGTATTGGATCTGGGGGCTATGAAGGCAAGGAGGAAAAAGAAGACCATACAAGTTCTGTGAAGGGTCCATCCAGTGACAGTTCATCAGAAGCGTAAGTGATGTCCAATTAAAAGAATCTTTAGATTCTAGTATTTTAAACTTTTCAGACAGCATTTCAGTTATTTAGATAAATTTTAACAGTGAAAGGAAATATTCTTATGTGGAGTTTTTTGCCTTCATCTACACTCATTGAGTAAGTCATCATGTGGCAGGTTAATACAAGAACTAGATAATACTTGATAATTGCATTAATAAAAAATGTAAGGTAGCCCTCTCTTGAAGTTCAACTACAAAACAGCTTTCTTTCCAGTGATGAAGACTACTTGAACCAAAGAAAAAGTGAAAAAGAAACTAATAATCCTTTCCTTGTAGTATTGGGTTTCATATATACTTAATTGAAATTGTTGTTGAATTGATTTTTATTGTTTTATTACGGTGGGTGTTCTTCCTTCCTTGGGTTCAATAGATGCATATTGTTGATGAAATATAAATTAGATAAGCTTTTTTTTTTTTTGGCCAGATAAATTAGATAAGCGTCGAGTTCTTTTCTGTAAGAATTACTTTGTCTTGAAAATAACATATATACTTCACAGTGCTTGTAAGTTTACTTGGATGAAGTCATATATCATATAATTCTGTGCTTTTGATTTTGATATGAAATGCCACCTAACTTTCAGTCTTTCTCAATGTACGTATCTTTGATTATTTTGCAGTGTGAAAGCTCCCAATCAAACGCCTTACCCTCTCTCCATTGCTATCGTGCTATTGGGATGTGCTTTAGTGTTTTCATTGATTGCTTCTGCAAAAGGTGGACCTTCATCACTCTTAGCAGCAATTGCAAAGTCGGGATTGACTGCTGCCTTCACGTTAATATTTGTTTCAGAAATTGGTGACAAGGTAACTAATTTATCATAAATAATTTCATGTGTTCTTGATCCTTTTTTCCTCTCCTTAATTTAAGCCATCAAACTCATGTAGTTCAAATTCTGTTATACCAAGTACACATGTTTTCTTATCTACCTCTTATGATAAGTTCTTCCCTTTTTTTATCGAGGAATCGATAAGTTCGTCTGTTGGTGAGTTTCTAGTGATATTGTCTGTCTCAATCAGTATTGTTCTAATCTAAGGATTAAACCATTGGATAACCAACTAAGAGGAAAAGGGTTAACTGTGAATAATCTCAATAGCACATTTACAGAAACAAGGATTTTTAAATTTTGGCAGTCCATGCATATATCATGCTTTTGGCACCCACATTACATTAAGCTAGATTCCTTATAAGCTAAGCTCACCAGCTAAGTTTTTTTCACCCTCAATTCACCAATTAATCATCCAAGCTATTCTGTCATTAGATGGCTTAATTAATCACTGCTCACTAGTGCTATGTTCAATTGTTTTGAAACTCTAGGGAAAGAAAGAAGCTCCTATTAAACTAAAAATGTGACCCCAAATAGAGTAGAATGATGGTCCTAACTAATGATGGATTGAGGAAGAAAGTTAATATTGCGGAAGCCCAGAAGTTTGCATGAGGCTTATAATTATTTTATGAATCAGTATTTGTTGTCCTGTCTGTCTTTTTTCATCACCTATTGCTCCATTTAATTGATATGTTTGATTGAAGGATCTGACTCTTCTTGAACTGATCCTATTGAATCTAAGAAGTTTTCATTAGTTTCTTAAGCTCGTGATAGTGCATTTAGAAACCTTACCAGAGATTTAAATTATATTTTTCATCTCTTGACCAGACATTTTTTATCGCTGCACTCTTGGCCATGCAATATGAGAAAGCACTGGTATGTTCTCTCCTAACTACTCATCTATGTGTGTCTTCATTAGGTTCTCTCTCTTTATTCTAGATATTGTTGTTTTGAAATGAATATAAATTTGGTATTATGGCTTTATTGTATATTCTCTGGTTCTTGGATTGATGAATGCTTTTATATTCTTGAACCGAATATCTTTTAACATTTATTAAATCATTGGAAAGGTTCTGTTGGGGTCAATGGGTGCTCTTTCTCTTATGACAATCTTGTCAGTAATAATTGGACGGGTCTTTCAATCAGTTCCTGCTCAATTCCAAACTAGTAAGTTCCTATTTCTCACATCTAACAGTAGTATTAACACTGCAAACACACAATTGAATTTGATTTAATTCAACCAACTACCTATACTAGTTCCTTCAACTTGAGATATTCAATGATACATAAACTCTCAAAGTAAGTACATTATCAAGTTCATTCACTCTGGAATCTACATTTTCCAAATGAATTACAGCATACCAGTTATTATTGCATTTCTATTGTAAAGTTCTTGATGACTACATTATTCTTTGATTCATTGTGCAGCCATACCAATTGGAGAATATGCAGCAATAGCTCTTCTTGTCTTCTTTGGCCTAAAATCTATAAAAGATGCATGGGACCTTCCACCAACAGTGGCAAAGAAAGGTGGCAAGAGAGGCCCTGAACTTGATGAGTTTGTTGAAGCTGAAGAACTTGTGAAAGAAAAGGTAATCATCTTTCTTCTGTTGAAGGAAACGAATCGGCTGGTTCACATGCCTCTTCTATTAAAAGGAAAAAAAATCAATAAAGGATTCTATTTTTATTGTATTCAGGTGTCAAAACCGCTCTCAAATCCACTTGAAATTGTCTGGAAGTCATTCAGCCTTGTATTCTTTGCTGTAAGCATCTTTTTATCCTTTTTAAAAGCAACATTTTATCTCCAAAGGAAAAGGCTGCTCTTTTGGTTGATTTCAATAATTCTCAATGTAAAATATTGCAATTTCTCCTAGGAATGGGGTGACCGTTCAATGCTTGCGACAATTGCACTTGGTGCTGCACAGGTGCAACTTTGATAACTTTATTTCTCATGATATTTTTTTAAAATTTTTTCTGCTACATAATTCACAATAGTTCAATGATTGCTGCTACATTGCCTACAGTCTCCATGGGGTGTGGCAAGTGGAGCCATTGCTGGACACCTACTTGCAACATCAATTGCAATTGTTGGAGGAGCATTTCTTGCCAACTATATTTCTGAGAAACTGGTAAGACCAAAAATTTATCCTTTGCTAGTATGATGTATTCATAGACTTGCATTTTGACTTCCATGCAATTGTGGTATTTTTAATCAGGTTGGTTATTTGGGTGGAGCACTTTTTCTAGTTTTTGCTGCAGCCACATTTTTTGGAGTTTTCTGATTGATTATACAGATCCTAGAGAGAAAGACGGGCTAGTTTCCAGCGCAATTGTCCTGATACATTGCCACCAGAGAGAACGATGGGAGCTCCAAAGAGGCGCATGTTAGTTCTTAGAAGCCTCCTTGAAACATCTCTTCATTATAATTTATCCCTTACTGTAATCTGGAAAAAGGGATTATGTTACAAATATTTGTTCACTTTGATGATTTTTGTGTACTTCAGCTAATTTTGTGGCCATAATTGTATGTTTCTCTCAGGTATGTTGCTACATTTCTCATTTATGTTTCTCCGCAAAAGACTTGGAAAGCTTTGAATGCTTCGGGTTCCTGTGGTTGCTTGGTTCTTAGTAAATTAGACTAGAATATAAACACAATTGTTAGTCGAGTTAATTCAGTAACATGTATCTTTTAATGTATATTTAAAAAATAAAAAAATAATTTTAAAAAATATGTATCATTGTGTTAATCTTATTCGTAGAATTAAAAACTCTATTGATAAAATATCAAATAATTTCTATAATAATAATGTCTTTTTATTGATCGAATAGAACTTGCTGGAACAAGATTTTACGTTTGGTCCCTTGTCTAACCTTTAAAAAAAAAAAAAAAAAGGACTATAACAAATTACAAAACCCTACTAAATTATTAACAATATATCCAATCCTATATTATTAAAATTAAATAAATAAAATAGCTACAGCTTGTAACTTTCACCGGAATTGATATATCTCCCACCACAATTTTACGCAAACCGGATGGCAAAAGCCTATAACCCAAGACATCAACAATGTTCAAGCTTTTGCAAGCATTAAGCACGAATTTCACATTCTTGCTCTCTTTTGCGTGTAGATAAACCCTTTCAAATCCAACCAATTGCTTTATATGGGTTCCATTGATTTCTTTGGGAGGGACTGAGTACGCCAAAACAACATTACTTCCATCCTTTCGCCCCACGTTTTGTACCGTGATTTCGAAAGCAATTTCATCATTACATGATAAATCATCAATTGAAACTGAAGCAATCTTGGTTTTCGTTTACATTCTTAATAAGGTAGGCTGTGAAATGTTGGAGTCTGTTCAATTTTATGTGGAGAGCCATTTCTGTAGATGTATACTCGTATTTGAAGCTTGCATAACTTAATCCATAACCAAAAGGATAAACAGTTGAGCCATTGAAGAACTTGTATGTTCTTCCTTCATCAACTGGCCTCAAAGGCATGGATGTCATCGGCAATTTTTCAACATAGTCAGCCTCATACCATGTAAGTGGCAACCTTCCTCCTGGTTAATTCAAATGAACGCATAGTAAACACAAGAAAGAAAAATATTAATCATGCATGCCTCTGCATTACAAAAAATAACAAATAAAAAAATAAAAAGAAATGAGAATTACCAGGATTGTATTTTCCAAAAACAACATCTGCGATAGCACGACCACCTTGTTCACCAGAGTATCCAACCCATAAGATAGATTTGATTTTAGGGTTGATTTTAGCTAAAGAAATATCAAGTACACCTGCAGCCATGACAACAATAATAACTGGACCTTTTGCAGCTTCAGCAACTTGTTTGACTAAATAAGTTTGATATCCAGGAAGAAGGAGATCCGTTCGATCAACCCATTCTCGCTCATTTTCTAAACTCGACCCCACAAAAAGCAAAGTAGTGTCAGTATAGATTCGTGGACATACAGTTAGACATATATTAAAAGAGTCGACATCAATATTTTTTGTTTAAGTGTAATTGATCACTTGATCGAATCTGTCATATTTAAAAAAAAATTTCAAAATTGATTTAAATATCTTTAAATAGTAGATTTTAGTCCACAAAACTAAATTTCAGATTCGAAAGTGCAATTATATGTGAGGAAGGTTAAGCACCCTCATAGCGTCAATCCAAAGGATGGTACTAATTTAATTTCAAATTATCCAAACATTAACCATATTTATGATTTATTAAAATATTTAATATTAAAAATTAATTTTAAAACTACTCTAATAATTTGGTAGTAATTTAAGATAATTCTCTTATCTTAGAAGTATTCGTGGAGCTAATGTCTCATCCTAAAAAGGCTCCATCGTTGAATTCATTTAAATTTTAGTTAAAAAAATAATCAGTCAAATCTTTCAATAATTTAGTAAGATTTACTTTGATACAGATCTCCTAATAGTTTGGTAAGATTTCTTTATAAATTTGTTTTTTCTTTTAGAGAATATAATAAATCTTCCAATAGTTTCATAAAATTTAATATGCAAATCCTCCGATAATTTTGTAGGATAAAAATACAAAATATTTTAATAATAATTTTTTTGTGCAATTAATTTATGAAATTATCCCATAGTTTAGTAAATTTCATTAAAAAAAATTAAATTCATGAGAAATCCTCTAATAATTTAGTAGGATTCATGAATTTATTTTAGAAATAGTTTTTGGTTACTTTTTCAAAAATAAGATAATAAGAATAAAATTTACAGAAGTAATAAAAAAATAAATTGTCTAATTTAAAATAAATAAAATAACAACAACAACAACAATAATAATAATAAGTAAAAAATAAAATAAAATAAAAAGTCTATAAAATAAAATTGTTAAAAATGTAAATAAAAAATAAAAATAAAAAAAACTGTGATCAGGTTGGGTCTAGAAATAGGTCACGTACGAATCCACGCGGGTCGAATGCGAGTTAAAACCTTTTTCAAAGCGACGTCATTCTGGAGGGGTATAAAAGATGGAATCCCATGTTTTTTCTCAAATCCGTATCAATGCTTTTCTTTCTAACTAAGATTTCCTCTGGCTTCTTTTTAGAATTTTTCAAAAGCAATCGCTAGAAATTGGGCAACCTACCGGTTTCTGAAAAATATCGCTAGAAACTTCAAATCCCACCAGAAAGTTTAACCAGAAAATTCAAACATTCAAACCCAAAACCCAAATTTTCTCAAATTTTCCAAAAAACCAAAAAAAAAAAAAAAACTTAGTTTTTAAACCAAAGATCTAGCCCTTGAACCATAGAAACTTAGAACAATTTTCACAAAAACTCATAATTGTCAAGACTATTGTTTTCACACCAACCCCTTTCTTTCTATCATCCTTTGTGATTCTATGTTCAATTTATAGCCCTTTTTTGTAGAAAATTTAGGACTTAAACATAACCAATTTAGGTTTGAATTTTAGGATTAGATTCTGTCCGATTTTACTGATAGTCTTAGGCTTTAAATCCCTTAAATTTGGTTCCTGGTTTTATGCAAATTTGTTGCTTGATTCCAGGGAATTAATATGATTCCTTCTCAATTCAATTTTCTTATTTATCATAACATATTAAGAAAAAAAAAGAAAATAATAATAATAATAATAATAATAATAATAGTAATAAGACAACAAAAGTTGATGCCAGACACAAATGAATGTCTACAACTACCCTTTTTTGCATAGTTTCTATGCAACATGAATTGCGCAAAGACAAAAGACTTCCATTTTATTTGGGTTTGAAAAATCAAATCAAAATTCAAAGTTAAAATGATTCGAACAAAGTCAAATTAGAATGTGAAAATGACTAAACTGAATCAAAGTCAAAAGTAAACGAGGTGTGCTAAAATGAAGATGACCAGGACTGAGTCGCAGGTTAGAAAAATAAAATGATTTGGACTAAGCCTAAGATCAAGACAAATGACTAGGATCGAACCGTGAGTCAAAAAAATAAAATAATCTAGACCAAGCCGAGATCAAAACAGGTGACTGGGATCGAGCCATTAGTCAAAAATATTGATCTAGACTGAGCCAATACCAAAACAGGTGATCGGGATCGAACCGCAAGTCATAAAAATAAAATGATCTCGATCAAACCGAGATAAAAAACATGTGACTAAGATCAAATTACGAGTAAGAAAAATAAAATAATCTAAACTGATTCAAGATTGAAAATGGGTGATTAGGATCAAACCATGAGTCAGAAAAATAAAATGATCTAAACTGAGCGGATCACAACTAGTGATCGGGATCAAACTACAAATCAAAACAGTAAAATGATCTAGATCAAGACAAGATCGAAACTAAGCAACCGAGATCAAACCGCGAGTTAGAAAAATAAAATGATATTGACAGAGCTATATCAAAACTGAGTGACCGGGAATGAACCTTAGGTTTGAAAAATAAAATGATATGGATTGAGCCAAGATTGAGAATAAATGATCGAGATTGCACCACAAGTCTGAAAAATAAAGGATCTAGACCAAGTCGAAATCAAAATTGAGTGATCATGATCAAACCATGATTCGAAAAATAAAAATTCAAAACTTTTAGCTTGAAATCCAAAAGATTCACAATTTGAAAATTCAAAGATTTGCACGATTCCACAACAGAAGCTGAAAGATCCCAATACTCTAAGTTTCGTAAAAAATTCACAAAGAATTCAAAATTCATAAAGGTTTGCAAGAATTTCAAGTTTTGTAAGAGTTTCAGATTCATAAGAATTTTAGGTTCGTAAGAATTTTTATCATTGTAAAGATTCGTAAACTATATTTAAAGATTTACATTTAAAAGATTTAAAGTTTCATATAAACAAATTTATGGATTCACATCAAAAATTTCAAGGCTCATCTCCAAAATTCAAAAATTTTCATTCAAAAATTTTAAAAATGCACATTCAACAATTAAAGATTTTTATTTGAAAAACTTATAGATTCTCATCGAAAATTTCAAAATTCACTTACAAAAACTTTAGCATTTCATAGCTAAAATTTCAAAGATTTTCATCTAAAAAATTTTAGGGTTTCACGTCCAAAATTTTAGAGATTCTTATTCAAAAAATTTCATGATTCAAATTAAAAAAATTCCTTTAAACCAAGGCTTTACAACTTTAGAAGTTTAGAAAATTTTCCTTGTCGAAAAATGAAAGATCTTCCTTATTCGAAAAATCAAAAGTCAAATATTTTCTCCTAACAAAAATAAATGTCATGCTAATAATACAAATAATTTTTAAATGCAACAAATGCCCAAATCCAGATTTTCACTAAATGTTGCAAATGCCAATGTCCTACTATAATTCAAATGTTCTCTACATGATGCAAACGTATACCCCAACAATGATGCAAATGTAATTATCACAATGCATGTAATATAAATGTCACTAAATCAATGTCATGAAATTCTAATCGTGGTAGCAAGGTTTTTAAGACTCTATCATTCTTTCTTAACTTCTCAGTAGTAACAATTCTAGAACAAATTCTGTCAACTAATTCATATCGTTCTCCTCATCTAGTCACAACTCTCAGGTCATATCAACCAATCTATCATTGAATTCATTATTAAATCACATTAGCTGTCCTTTTTAAGTCATTTCTTAGGCTTTTTTTTACGAACATTGCATTCATTTATTTATCATCATTTTAATTCAT